AGGATCGTTGCTAACCCACCATCGGGGGTTGGAAATTGAAATGAAGTTTCTAACACCATAAAATATTTGTTATTATCAAAATATAAATTATTTTTAGATTAATATTGGGACTCGAGTCAACTACTAGATATATCTATTTTTTAATTTAAAAAAAAAAAAAAATCTAAAACCCCATTTTCAGGTAAGCTAAGCCCTGGTGATACGGATTCTGCCAATAAGAAAGAGGGAGCACAGCAATCCCCCATGGCTCACCGACGGGTATCCAGTTACTATCACGCAGTGCGGTGGCTCTCATCTCCCTCAAATCGAAACCTCCTATCTCCGTCTTCAAAACCCTAATATCAAATCCCCATCTCAAAAAACTCATTCCCAGTTTAGATCGGTCCTAGTTCACCCTCTGGCCCCAAGCTCGCTACCTCTCGTCGAGCAAAGACGATGATGGCAGTGAAGACGATGACGAAGATGAAATAGAAGAAATCAGTGATGGAGAGGGGAATGCAACGCTGGAGTCGACGAGGGAGTACTCGCCGGAGGAGAAGGAAGCAGAGGCAGCTGCTATCGGGTACAAAGTCGTGGGTCCACTTCAGCGATCCGATCGGGTCTTTAAACAGTGCGAGCCAGTTTTCGCGGTGGTTCAGGTTTTTATTTATGAGTTTGTTTCAATGTTTTCGTGTTAACAAGCAAAAATGCTGAAAATATTGGTTTATGGGGTTTTTGCTTTTATGTAGTTCTGTGGGTTTTATTGGTGTAGATTGGGTCGCATCAGTTTAAAGTTAGCAATGGGGATTGTATTTTTACGGAAAGGTTGAAATTTTGTGAAGTAAATGATAAGGTAAGGATTAATGGTGGTTGAATTAGACAAATTTAAGGTGCAATTTCTGGTTTTTCTGTTTTGTTTCTGTTATGTTGAGCTTAGGTTCATATTTGTGATTGGAATTTGATTTCATCTTGCAACACCTTCAGTTAAATTCAGTAGCATTTTTATGCAAATATACCTATATTTTCAAGCATCTCCTTGTTTTTACTTTTTATT